TTGCGCTTTAGGAATACTTTACTATATGTACTCAAAATATGTACCGTGGCTTCCATCACTCCGGCAAACTTGCAGTAATTGGCCTCCTTTCTGAAAAAAATTATTGCATTTTACGATCAACCTCTGCAAATCTCCCAAAGTCTTACGGTTGAGATTTTCTCACACAAGAAAATAAGCGATCTTTTCTCTTGATCTTTTCCTTGATAGCTCTGCTCAAAAGCATCACAGGTATCTAATAATGGTTTAATCTGGTTTTAGGATCGTATTCGCAGGAAATGCAAATCAGGACAATCGAATTGTGGATTTTCGACTTTTACATGTGGATATTTCACAAAGGTATTTCCTCTTGAAATCAACGCAGAGCAATTTATCCTCCAAAATGGAAGTTATTTCTCTCGAGATATGTAAACGGAAATCTTCACTTTGAAGGACAGTTTTCATTAGCACTCATGGCTTTTTCTTTTGCATTTGTACCATTCCCATATCTTGTAAACATTTGGAATTTGCTTTATGTGTGGCTATGAATCGCTTCTAAGCTCTTCTAACGATTGGTATACATACATACATTGATGCTTATTCACCGATGAAACATTCGCTCAATTTTAATGTTGGTTAATGAATGTTAAGTCACATGTGCAGTCACTACATTTGAGACGATCGGCTATTCGGTAAGAGAAAGTCACAAAAAGTTCACCGAAAAAAAAGAGATGCCCAGCTGATAGTGTATTCCAAATGGAGATGAATAGATATGTATGAATGTCATATTGCTCTCGCTGCTCCAACAGTCGCAATGGCCAGGTGAGCAATGCACTAGCGTGCACTTTTCCTTTTTGTTTATTTAATTTGGGGCTTTTTAATTGTTGTTATTAAAATTTAATTGTCCTATCTAATGACGTTTTCGTTTCTACCGATAAATGTTACCTTCTCATTGCCCTCTAAGCACAAACACTGTTATTGCAATGAAAATGCACAATTTTTTGTAGAAACGAAAACGCCATTATTTTTTATATAATTTTCTTTTGATTTTTAGTTTTTGTTTGAAGTCATTTTTTTATTCAATTAAATTTTGCTGATTTTCCTAATAAAATTGTTGTTAAATAAATATTTCCTGGCTTCATTTTCGCTTTTTTGTTGTGACAGCTCAGAGCCAGCTGATTAATCAGCTGACTAGTTTTTAGACTATAGATGTGATACAGCTTACCAAATATGTAGTCTCAAAATCGTTGTTCACCACGAGAAGTCGCCATTAGTGACTAGAGACTGCTGACTACCGGCATAGGAGCTGTTAGTTCGAATCCAATTTGCAGAAATGATATTATATCCGAAATTCTTAAGTTAACAATGTTACAATTTACAAAAAAAAA